CTCCCTCCGCTCTCTCGTCGTCTAGATTAAGTTGCCTTCCCCCCTCCGTGACCCAGTGGGCATCCCTTGACCCGCCACCTCTGGACTCCATGGACAGTGTAGACCATTGGCAGTGCAGACGTGTGTAGAGAGACCAGGGACTGCTGAGCGGGGGAGTGAGGTTAGGCGAGGAGGCGGGAAGGCCCGGGAGGCAGGGGTGGGGGAGCTGGGCTGCCTGCACGCAGCCCTGTGGGAGGTGTCAGTTGGGCCTCCCCGGGAGGGCTGCCTAGGGCTCCCGCCCCTGCTGCCTGATAACCACAGCTCCTGGCCCTTCAGGGTCTTTTAGTTTTGTTTTTCAGGTTTTTTTTTTTCCCCTTTGGGGTTTCCTGTTTGAATGTTTGAATTATCTCAGCTATGGTACATTTTAGAGAATGGAAAAAAAATTCTAAGTAGAATCTTACCGCAAAGATCAGTGCCCCCCCCTTTTTTTTTTCGGTTTAATCCGCGGTCTCCTCTGCCTTATATAGCCTGAGAGATCGCAGAGACCTGGGGTTTGGGGGGGGTTCCTCGTGGACCTCGGAGGGGCCGGCGATGACTCGATTGCTTGGCCTGGCTTAGCTCTGGTGGAGCCTGTGGTCTCGCGGCTGTTGCAGTGCAGTGGGCTGGCGGGAGAGGTCAGCCTGACTTAATCCACTTCCCTGTAACAGAAACGCCCAGTGCTTTGCCCGTAGCCTCATTTCAGGCAGCCCCCGGGTGGTGCAGCCCTTGTATCAGAAAGACGTGCCACCCTTTGTCTCTGGCTGATACCCATAGTCCCTGGCAGGTGTCATCCTGGCCTCTTCGCAGCCCTCACTTCCTGGCACGCCTTCCTCTCCAGAACCTCCCCCCGCCCCCCCACACCTCTCCCTGCCTTGCCCTTTGCTCCAACTCCTCCTCCAGTTATGCAGGATGACTGAATCCCAGGTGCTGGAAACTTCTCTCCCTTCCTATAGTCCAGTCACACCCCCTAGGCCAGGACCCTGGGGTCTGCAGGGGGGTGGGTGGTAGCTGACTCCCGGGCAGGTAGGCGCAGGGCCCATGCAGACCCCTGCTGGGAAGTCCCTCAGCGGTATTTGGGGAAAGGAAACGACTCCCGCCGACGTGAAGCCGGGATTGGGGGTCTGTTTTGCCTGGCACCTCATTTCAGGGCCTCTCTTCTGTGTCAGCTGTGTTTGGTGGTAATCCAGTTATTGACACACGCCGGAGAAACATTTTTTAAACTCTCCTTTTAAAGAGTCTTAATTCCTCCTGGTGGCGCAGAGCTGCGGTGAGGACTCACTCGGCCCCAGAGTCCAAAGGCGGGCGTGCCCAGCAATCACACGGCAGGGTCTGGTCTGGCCTGGCTTGGCATCCTAGTGTTACTGTGATCGGGGGCAGGGCTGCGGGTTCCTCTCTCGCTCCTGTGCACCTTTTCTGCAAAGTAAGGGTGATTAGAGTAACAGCAACAGAAATAACCGTGAGCACTATGGGGTGCTAGCTCGGGACTCCCCAGCACCTCTCCCTGGATGAGGCAGCTGGCCGGGGCATCTCTGCTACGGCGCCTTTGTTATTATGCAGCCACCATGGTGTGAGCCATCAAGCATTGAGCACCTCCTGTGTACATGGGGGCGGCACGGGACTCAGGCCCTGGGGCTCCAAGGCCTCCTGCTCCCCGGCAGCTTTTACAGTTGAGGATTCCTGCAGAGCACAGCACGGCGCGTGGCCCCTGCCAAAACTCCACTTTGATTGAATTGAACTTGACATCTCAATGAAGCCGACCTTTTTCCTCCCGAAAGCACTATACTTTGTCTCCTCTGCCATACAGGCCCCACCCTGGGGCTATATCGTATATTTCGAACACCCCAGGATTGTCTGTGACCTGCTCAGTGTGGCTAATAGGAAGGGGCTCTGGTGTTGGATCTCTGAGGGGCCACAGGGACAGAAACAGCTCGCTCACACGTGACTCATGAGCGCTGCCCCATACCTTGCCCCCAGCACCCACCCCAGCCTCCGCAGGATGCTCTCTGGGCCTCTTGGTTTGAGTTACTTGATGAAAAACTGGGTCCAATAGGTAGAGCGAGGCAGGAGTCGGAGTTGCATTCCAGGCCTGAATGGGGAGAGGGAATCAAGGTTTCTTGTTTATTTTCTGAGAAGTTGATCATATCACTCTTTCTTGGCTTGCAGGCAGGTTTAATTATGAGGATAAAGGCAGGAGGCTAGCAAAGTGTGTGTGTGCATGCGCACAGGCGTGCGCATGTGTGCAGGGCTGGAGAGCCGTCCATTGCGGCGAGTCCCCCGGAGCCCTGGGTGCAAGAGTGGCCTTGTGTGCTGAAGCCCTGCCTCCGGGACCGCCCATCACAAGCCCCAGGTCCCGGGGCAGTCACTGAGTGCATGCAGCAGGTTGGGTGGCACCTGTGACTGGTGAGAGCATGTGCTCAGAAGCAGGGCAGCAGCAGACCCAGCTCAGCAACAGCAGGTCCTGCAGGTGGCACCCGCAGGCGCACACCCTGTGGAAGTGAGCAGTGGCTTCTGGGTTGGGTGCTGGGGTGTATGAATGAGTTTCTGCAAAAATGCAGACCACGTGCAGGGGTCTAGGGAGTGAGGGAGCTCTTACGTGGGGTGGGGTGCTGGCTGTCATTTTGGAAGGCACCTTGGCAGCCTCCGTCAAAACTGAAAGTGAGCGCACTCTCCGGCCCCGGATTTCCTCTTCTTGAAGTTCTCTTAAAAGTCACCACGAGTCTACAGGCCCATTGGAGGAGGAGGAATGTGTCAGTGATGTTGATGAGAGTGGAAAATGTTTCTTAGCGAGGCAATGATTATGCACATGGCCATCTGTCTATATTCGGAAATGCTTTGCATACTGTACAAAGAATAATATGCATACAAAGAACAATACAGGCCTATCTGCACTGATATGAAAAGCTACCCAACATACAGTTTGAGGTGAAGTTGCTATGAACAGAAAAAGACCACAAAATCATATTAATATCTCCTTTTTCTAGGAAATGTTTATGAATAAAATAGTTATGGACCACTAGGCAAAATCGTAGTTCTTTTGTGAATGTAAGGATCTGCTAAAAAGTATCTGCACATGTTACAATTTTCCAAGTTAAAAAATTAGACTGAACTGGGGGTGGCACAGTGGGTTGAGTGCTGCTCTGTGAAGCTGCCCACAGCCTCTGCAGTGTGGGTTTGATTCCTGGCCGGCTGGCGAGATTCCCACATGGCATGGCAGACCTCTCCTGTCGCGCCCGCTGCTCCCCTCAGCAGTGCTTTCGGTCCGTCTGCCTGTTCTGCTCCCCACTCTGTCTGGCGAATCCTCTCACCCTCCCGCGTCTCTGACCTATACCCCGGGTCTTGTATAAAAATAAATATATCTTTAAAAAAAAAAAGAAATTAGACTGAACTCATTGAAGACCAAATGACAGATGTAAAGGCAGTTTTTAAACAGTTCATAAATTCATTTCACTAAATTTGTAGATGGGAGTAAATATATAATGTACAGCCAGTCCATTACTCTAAGCAGAAGTACCTGGTTTTTGAAACTATCCCATCAAGTAATAACATGTAATATGTATGTTTTTACCTGCAGTAGCTTTTTTTTTAATTGCCTTATTTGCTGGTGAGTTCTTTCTTTCTTGAGAGTGTAAGCACATAGCAGATGTCCAGATGATCCAAATGCCAAGAGCATTCATTCCAAATTGAGAAGGCTTTTACCCTGTGAATCATAGGAATTTTACTAAACCATGCATGGCCTGCCATGGAGGAAGGAGTTTCCCGATAAGCTAAAGGAGTTTTGCCCACAGTTCCAGAGCATCTTCCTCATTTGTCCTGCAGCGTTTTGCACACTCAACATACTGTACTCAGAATCTGCTGTGCGTGCTAAAATATGGCACTGCCCCCATGAGGGCTGCCCAGGCCTGTTGCTTTTATCCGTCACCAAATGAGGATTCTGAGTGTCTGTCCCAAGCAGCAGATCAGCCTCCACCATGCCCTTCCTTCAAGGGGTCCCCTTTCTGCAGACGATGACTCTGAACCTGCTGTTTGAGTCGGTGGTTCTGTGTGTTAAGGGGATGCCGAGGTTTAGGCCTGGGATGATTTAAGAATACCAAAGTGGGAAGACATAGAAGAGGGGGTGTTGCTGGAGGCCCCTGGGATGATGGCCTCCTTGGTGCTGGGCACCCAGCAAGATCCCTGCATCTGTCTTGAATTTGATAGACAGTTGACCCAGTGTTGTGCCACCTGGCTGGCACTAAACGATTTCCCTCTCTTTCCCCAGGGAGGTCAGTATTTCCCCCTCATTTTACAGGCAAAACACTTGGGGTAAGAGGAGTGAGTTTCCCAGAGTCACACAGCTCGATGAGCAGGAGAAGCTAAGAATCAGGTCTAAGGGCTTCTGAAGCCCCAATTCTTGACGTACACTATTCCTCTCGACTTTTATGGGACAAAGATGTTCTTAAAGAGAAGATTCAGGTTTTCGGTTTCACATTTGAACACTTTAAAAATGCTTGTGTAGGGCCTCCCCGGTGGCGCAGCGGTTGAGCGCTCAGTTGTGAAGCTGCCCGCAGCCTCCGCAGCGCCGGTTCGATCCCCGGCTGCTCCCCGGCCACCGGAGGAGGGTCCCACATGGCGCGCAGACCTCTCCTGCCGCCCGCTGCTCCCCTCAGCAGTGTACCTCGGTCCTTCTGCCTGCTCTGCTCCCCGCTCTGGCTCTGGTGAATTCTCTCACCCTCCCGCGCTTCTGACTGTACCCAGGGTTTGTATAAATAAATAATCTTAAAAAATAAAAAATAATAATAATAATAAAAATGCTTGTGTAAACCAACCATAGGTGCTGCAATTATCCAGTGTATCTTTTGTTTTCCTCCTGAACAATAGACTTAGGTAATTGTGATATGTCTTTGTTATTAGATTTTTTAAATGTCTATGGACGTCAAGTTGACTTATAACACTGGGTGTGTTTTGGGGATATAGGATCACACCTTTATTATTGAATTTTATAGGAAATGACCAAGTTCACTCCTGGACACTAGTCCCCAGCCAAGCCCTAGAGGCTGCGTGGAGGATGGCCAGGGGGTCTGTGATGCTGGCTGTTTCGTGTCTGCTGGCCACCCTCTGCTGCTTCCGAAGGCTGCAGGTACATATCGGGCACCGACTGAAATGGTAAGTGACTAGCTCACCCTTAAATGTCAAAAATATCCTGGTTATACATAGTAGAATTTTGATATTGTTCCCTTTGTCTTTTAGGTGGATTGGATATCTACAGCGAAAATTCAAAAGTAAATATTTTCACGCATGCCTTTCCTTATTGTGAAGGTACGGAGAGGGCTCACCAAGGGAGAGGAACAGGGAAACTAACTACCTTGTGTCTTGACTTGGTCCAGGGAACCTCAGTGTGGAGGCAGAAGTGGATTTACTAAGCTATTGTGCCAGAGAATGGAAAGGAGATCTGCCCCGTGCCAAGCTGATGAGGAAGGTGTGTCTGTTCATAAAGGTGGTGGAAGATGGAGGCTGTGTGGGTAGAAATTGGGAAGCAAACCTTCCATTCTGCTTTGCTAAATCGAAGATCAACTAAGACCAGACGTGCCAGGAAGGAACAGCTGTGGCTCCTGTGACAAAACTGCCCAACCAGGGCCTCCTTGGTGGTGCAAGGGTTAGAGTCCCAGCACTATCAAGTTAGTGCCAGCTACCGTAGCACAAGTTCGATCCCCAGCCAGGGAGCTACCCACATGGCGCAGCAGACCTCTCCTGTCTCCCCGCTGCTCCCCTCAGCAGGGTATTTCAGTAGATCTGCCTGTTCTGCTCCCCACTCTGTCTCTGGTGAATCCTCTCACCTCCCGCACATCTGGCCTGTACCCCAGCTCTTGTATGCATAAATAAATACATCTTTAAAAAAAAAAAAAACAGGGCTATAGACCCTGATCACGCAGAGCCAGGGCCCATGAGATGTCCTTACCTCCGTGGCTGGTCCTCACTTCTGTTCCGACTGACCTTGCTGACTTGCTTTGTAATTCTCTCAGCTGATAGAATGTGAAAGCCCACCCTCCCCTCTGTGCCGCAGGCCTACGAGGAGCTGTTCTGGCGGCGGCACATCAAGTGCGTCCGGCCGGTCAGGAGAGACCACTACGACGCACTAAGGTGCGTGCTGTTCCAGATCCTCAGCCAGGGCCTGGCCTACCCGTCCTGGATGAAGGAGAAGGACATCGTGAAGGTGCGTGTGCGCGCTGGGAGCTGGAGGGAGGCAGAGCAGAGGCGTGGCCTGGGCTCTGGAGTCCCGGGGTATCCTGGAGGCAGGACCCCAGAGGTGGAGGAGCCTTGGGGGTTGTCGAGCCCAGCCCCCATCTCTCAGCTCCGCTTGCCAATAAACCATCTCAGAAAGACGGTCATACTCGGTTTAGGTTGGCTGGTTGCTTGAGAAGGGCGCCTGTGCCCTCTGAGCAAGGTGGCCTGCTGACCTGTACAGGTGTTGGAGTTTTGGCAAATGCTTAGTGTCTGCCACCCCAGAGAGTCCCCACACTCCCTTATACTCGGTCCTGCTCCCACACACACCCTGTGCCCTTGGAGACGGGGTGATATGTCTTCCGTCTCCCTGGTTTTGCCTTTTCCGGAACACATAATGGATCACCCATGTGGCTTCTCCACTTACATGGATGCGACCGCAGTTTACCTGCTTCGTTCTGTGAACTTGGGGTTCATCCCTTCTCACGGTCCTCGGGGGAGTGGATCACAGTTGCTTGTCCATTCAGCAGTTGAAGGGCCTCCAGATAGTTCCCAGCTCTTGACAACTATGCAGGAGGCTGTTCTGATTATTCCCATACAGGATTCTGTGCGATAATCAGTTTGCATTCCTTCTGGGTGAAGACCGAGCGGGCTGGGTCGCATGGTGGGGCACTTTCCCCAGGTGGCTCTGCCTTCTGGCTGTCGCAGCCATAATGTTGAAGAGCCCAATTGTCCGCCTCCTCACCAGCACTGCCAGCTCTTTGCTAGGTTTGGGTTTTGATGCCATTCTAATAAGCGTGCCTGGGTGTCACCCCCGGCCAGAGCGCTGGGCTTGTTTGGCATCCGCATCATCTACCCGGAGAAGCGTCTGGTCAAATATTTTGCCTGCTCTTTTTTTTTTTTTCTGGACTTTTTTTTTTTAATTACTGATTGAGTTTTGAGAGTTTGCCGTATATTCGGAACGCTGGTGCTTTATCACATATGTGATTTGCAGATATTTTCTTCCGGCTTGGGTCTAGTTTTTTGTTTTTTAGTTTTTGTTTTTTTTTTTTTAACAGTGTAAGGGAGTCCATTCTTGATAAATAACCTGAATTTTTATTTTGGATGGAGGCTGCACTTATCTAAGGATGGAGGCGCACACAATATAAAGCATTGGGTTTATATAGTTACGTGTGTTCTGCTTCCTAAATATTTTGCCTTTGGAGTCGTCTTTGTAAGTCCCTGTATGGTGCTGCCGCGCACCCAGTGCTGAGGACAGAGAACACGGCCCCCTCAGCCAGGCGGGCAAATCCACCAACGAGAGCCCAGTGAAGTGGCCGCTGTTATCCTTGATTTACAATGGAGGCCGAGGCTATCAGGTTCCATAATTGACGCTGGTTAAGCCATTGCTTAGCTGATGAGCAACAGGGCTCGGTTTGAACCCCAAAGCATGTCACTGAAATCCATGTTCTCCTGAATGCACTGTTACCCTAACATTGTTTGATTAATAGGTAATTTTTACAGGAGTTTGGGAAGTGTTTGATCCTTAAAGACTATTTCTTTTTTTTTTTTTTAAGATTTATTTATGCTTACAAGAACTGGGGTGCAGGCCAGAGGTGTGGGGGGTGAGAGGATTCACCAGAGACAGAGTGGGGAACAGAACAGGCAGACTGACTGAAACACACTGCTGAGGGGAGCAGCGGGGAGACAGGAGAGGTCTGCTGCACCATGTGGGTAGCTCCCTGGCCAGGGATCAAACTTGTGCTGCAGTGGCTGGTGACAGCTTGAGAGCGCTGTCTTTATCCCCTGTGCCACCAGGGAGGCCCCTTAAACACTATTTCTACAGACATAATCTTACATGTACGTTTTCATCAGTTGCGAAGTTGTGGATTAAGAACTTGATCCAAATCACTTAATTCACAAATCTGAAAAAAAAAATGACTACATGATTTTCATTTAACTGCTGATGTCGCCTTTTAAAATGAAGATGCTAAATGAGATAAGATGATGTGTTGTCGCATGTGTGGGCGTGATGTTGAGATGCTAATCGTGTTGGTCTCCACTTCCTTTTTAAAGCTTCCTGAAAAGCTGCTCTTTTCACAAGGTTGTAACTGGATCCAGCAGTACAGTTTTGGTCCTGAGAAATACACAGGTTCAAATGTGTTTGGAAAATTGCGTAAATGCGTGGAATTACTAAAGGCACAGGTGAGTGTTTGGCGGGCGAGGCAGGAAAGCCTGCAGCCCCCTCCACCCAGCCCCCTGTCTCTGCTGTCTGTTATCGCTTTGTTAGGCCGGCAGGAAATAGACACAGACGCGCTTCTTCCAGTAACTGATGGTTTCCTTTCCTTGTTCTCCTTTCTCCCGCCGAATAATAATGAGGGTGTGGTCCTGCAGGAGAGTGAGGACGTTTATGGGCCGACGAGGCCTCTGGGGGGCTGGCCAGGAACCCCCAACAGTATCTACCTTTGTCTCCCCAGAAACTGCATTGCGAGTCCCAGACAAGACACTCGGAGGTTCGGAACTCGGGGCCACGCGGGTGTTAGGGTCTCAGAGTTTTTCTGCCTTATAATAATGACACAGTTTTGGATTCCTGGAAGGAACCTTCGCTAGGAAATGCCGTGACCTTGCTGTGCCAGTGTTCTTATCTGAGCAGCATCTGCCCTGGGTGGTTACAGCAAGGTTTCAGAGAGTTTACACACGGCGAGTGTCCCCACTGTGTCTGGCATATGTGTGTTTAAGAACACTAGCTAGAGCGGGGAGGGGACAGGCCCCCCCACCCCCGCCGCGAGACCCCCAGAAGCCCTCCACTACCCTGCCCCCTGCCCCAGGGAACACGTACTATTTATTCACTTTCAGGATTTCTTTTCTTCCCGCAAATTTTAGGCCGGAGTTTTGTCCCGCTTTTGTTTTTGTTTTATTTATTAATTTATTTATTTTGTCTGCCCCTAATGCTGGGCCCCTACGGTAAGACCACCTCCTTCCCACGCTTGTCCTGTGCTCATGGAGCCCAGGGGGCCCCTGCACAGACCTTGTGTTCACTGGCACCTTCCTGGGGCCTGAACCCCCCAGCTCCCAGGTCAGAGTGAAGCAGGGCGGAAATAGTTAAAATTTTCATACCTGTTGTAGCACTCAAGGGTCAGCAAGTGTGGTTTTCTTATGGGGACATAGACGAATACTGCGTTAACAGCAGTTCCAGGCCCAGTGTTGCCAGTGGCACGCAAACATCCTCGCCCGCCTGACAGCTGCTAACGTGGAGGGAACGGAATTTAAACAGTTTTATAAACAAACAGCTCAAGAGCGCGGCTCGGGCTGGCACTGAGTCTGCAGAACCCGACTCTCTTACGACGCTTGAACACACTCACTGGCTTAGTACTTGACCTACGAGGTGAAACTTCTTGAAAAAAAAGTTTTAATTTAACTAGTTGGCTGCTGTAGAAGTAGCATGTGCTTATGCTTAGGAAAAAAATGAAAGTGTCCAGAAATGAAAAGTAAAAATTCCACTCCCCTCTACTAATTTTGCTAACTTCATAAGCACCTGCGGGTGAGGCAGGGCGACTGCTTTCTTTTGGTTTCACCTCCGCCTCTGTGTTTGTAGTGGACTGAATTTAGTGGAATTAAAGATCATCACAAGAGAGGAAGCATGTGCAACATCCTTTTTTCCGATGCCATTCTGGAATATAAACTTTACGAAGCTTTAAAGTTCATCATGCTTTATCAAGTCACCGAGGTGTACGAACAGATGAAGACCAACAAGCCCATTCCTGGTCTTTTTCGACTCCTGTTTTCCCGGGAAACCTCGTCGGACCCACTGAGCTTCATGATGAATCACCTGAACTGCATCGGCGACACCCATGGGCTGGAGCAGGTGAAGGGGCCTGAGAATCGTGTGCGTTTGGTCGGGGATGAGTCTCCTGGCTCTTGAGCCACACAGGCCTTAGTTCACTTTCCTGGTGGCCGAGCCACTGTGTGGGATGGGGTTGACAGATCACCCTCAGGGAGCAGGGGGAGAGGCACTGACCCCACTGCTGGGCTGGAATGCGACAGCCTGAGGCCAGGTGGGCGGTGACAGGCTGTGTCCCAGCAGAGTCACCAGGAGAAAGTGCATTTGGGGGATGAGATAACCTTGGGAAAGCATTTGGTTACTTCACTGTGATCAATAGGAAATTAGTGCAGTTTCCTAAATCCCAAAAATGCCTTTCTGTCCCATAAAAAGGGTTTGGTTGGTTTGACTTTGCTTCCCTGATCTGACTTTGTTATCCAGATTCATTTTAAATGCGATAAAACTAATTGGGAAACAGTATCATTTCTATTGTGTTTCTTATTGTTTGTTTTTTTTTAATATGGAAAGTAGCGGTATTCTGTGTGATGTCTCCACACAGGTCCCCCACGGCCCCCCACTTCCCATGTGGTGCCCACCCCTGGCTCACGTGCAGTCCTGTGTACTAGCATGTCATTCTCAAGCTTCAGGAGACGCAGCCCGGGGGTGGGCGGAAGGAGGCACTTGGAAGTGTGTGTGTGTATGTGTGACCCGTTTCATCTCTTCCCCAGATTGATATGTTTATACTTGGATACTCCCTTGAAGTAAAGATAAAAGTGTTCAGATTATTCAAGTTTAACTCCAGAGACTTTGAAGTCTGCTACCCAGAGGAGCTGCTCAGGGAGTGGCCGGAGATCTCCCTGCTGACCGAGAATGACCGCCACTACCACGTTCCTGTCTTCTAAGTCGGGCTGGGCCAGGCGCTGGCTCTGGCCATGGGCATCTGTCACGCACACACCAGGCGTTTCTCAGACAGCAAAGCCAATGTGGAGCCACAGGAGTTAGGACCTTCTTCTGGGGACCCCCGTGTGCTGATGGAGGTGCCCAGGGCCTTCCTCTGGGGCTCAGCGCATCCCTCCAAGGCAGCTGCACTGACACTTCGTGGGCTGGTGGCTTGACCTTGTTCATCGGGGCCCTGGTCCCCCACAGCAGAACTTTAAGAGCACAAGGAAGAAACAACAGCAGGAAAAAAGCGAGAAGAAAACAAGTAAAGGACTAACCTGGGAAAGCAGAATTAGTCTCTGATGTTTACATTCTTCATTAAGAATCTGTGTTTGACTGATGTTGGCGCTTCATAAACATGGCCTTAAGCATTACCTTTCTAGAAATCTGTGTGGTGTTAAGTAGAGAAAAACCCCTTAATGGACTTTAAAATCATGTGTGTGTGTATTTGCAAAAAACTATAGTATGCACACAGATATACATGTAGTTTTACATGTACATACACACATGACCACTACTTTGTCATGTTGTACGATTTATTTTATATCTATTTTTTATAACAGTTGGTCTGGTCAGTTTAATATGTTTTGTATAGATAAAATGATAACTTCTATAAATTAAGACAACTAGGTGGACAGTTATTCAAGTGTCATGTAGCAAACCCTGGTGTATTGCGTGTGTATTTAATACGTGGAATCTTATTGTGGTAGGTATTGATTTCAAATGATACAAAACTAGTTGTAAAGTAGCATTTTGCCCTTCCCCCAAAAGGCATCTACATCCTAATCCCTGGAACCTGTGACTGTGTTGGGTTCAAATGAGGAGGCAACAGATGGAATTAAGGGACTAGCCAGCTGACCTTAAAGTAACAAGAGGACTTGGGGTTCTCCAGGTGGGCCCCATATAATCAAAAGGGTCTTTCAAAGTGGGAGGGGGATGGGAAGCGTGTCAGAGCCTGGGGAAATGTGAAGTGCAGGACAGTCAGAGGTGCCAGCTTGGTAGATTTGAAGATGGAGGAAGGGCCCAGGAGCGTGTGGGCAGCCTCTGGAATCGAAAAGAGACCAGGAGTTGGATTCTCCTCTAGAACCTCCAGAAAAGAACATGGCCCTGCCGATGCCTGGATTTTAGCTCCATGGAGCTCAAACCTCCAGAACTGTAAGGTAGCACCTTTGTGTTAAGCGGCTGACTTTGTGCTAACGGTTAATAGCAGCAACAGACAACTAATGTCAGGCTAACTAATTTTTGGCCATCTTTATTTTGGAAATGCTTTTCTAGGTTATTTTGGTGATCTGTTTTTTTTTTGGAGGGGGGGCCCCGCTGTACTTCGTATTGAATTTCTATCAATACGACATAACTTCTTCAATCTTGTCATGACATTTGGCTTGGTCACAGTTCCCTCTAAGAGGGCCTGACTCGGTGAATGCTAAAGGTTGGTGCCTAACTTTCCCACATCATCGCGTTACTTCTTCTATAAATAAAAAAAGTATGTTTCATGTGGTGTGTGGAAGTAACACTTCAGACTTTCATAGGAGGGAGAAGCGCCTATCAGCACTACTTACACTGGTTGGCCACAGTGTCTTGCCTTTTACCCCCACGCTCCTGCAGCGTTAGCAGCGTTAGCGTTAGCTCCTGCAGCATTAGCAGCAGAATTATCTCCACATCAATCCAGGATCAGAAGGAGAACCCTTTTCATAGGGACGGGCAGCCTGGCACTCCGTGACAGCCCACCATTGCGTCGAGGCTGGTGGGCAGGGCATGAATTCTTTCAATAGAGAGGCAAGGCAGAATTGTGAAAAAGGACATTTCAATACAATGCAAGCAGGAAGTAGAGAAGACATCAGAATCATCGCTATGTTTTAGGAAAGCACCAAAACAGAAGATGTTTAAGGAAGGAGGAAGAGTTGAATGGTATCGGTTTGGTTTTTAAAAATTCAAAGACTATAACTAATTAGCCAGAATGAATGGCGTACAAAGTAGCACCCCTGTTTTGGATTGGCTTTTCAATGTTTTATTTTTATTGAGGTAACATGGTTTACACCACTTGGTGTGCTTCAGAGATAGGGGGTCACCGCTTATCATTGCTAAGTATTGTTTCATTACCTGAGTGTTGGTACAGGTAGGTACGCATCTCCAAACCCACTCCGTTTCCTTTTTTGTCACAATGTCTGTTTCAGAGTCAGACAGAGTTAGGTGGGTCCATGCGGCACCATCACTTGTATGTTATTTGTTCAAAATAATTGAGTCTCCCTGAATTCCCTTATGTTTTAATGCGGTCATACTCCTGTAGGCCAAGAAAATAAGCGTTTGTCTGGATTACACTTCTGCTGAACAGCAACATGGTTTATAAGTGATGGAAAAAAACACTCACATATTTAACAACCCCAGGGCCCAAGTGGTCTGGGGATGAGTCAGAAGTGGGTGCAGGCTTCTGCCCGCGAAGGTCATAGAATGCACTTGAGCAAACAGGAACTCTGCTGGAGCCAGTGTGGATGAGGGGATCTTACTAGTACATTCTTAGCTGGTGTCTCTGGAAAAAAAGACCATTCTGCTCAGACACCACATTTCCATATAAAATTGATCTCTTGGTACTTAAGAGTCAAATATGGCCAATTTTAAATTATGTGGGTAATTTTACTGCCACAATCATGATGCTTATTGGTAACGATTTTTGGAAAGTGTAGTCGAGAATTTCCCACAATAGAAAAAAAAAAGCTCTAAATATTTTAGATTCAGTCTGATGAGCTGTAAATCCATTTCAGTTCAAGTACTTTATGTAAAACAGCAGTGTGTTCTAAGAACATTCCTCAAGTACAGAAGTATTTTTTCCATTGAAATAGCCTCCTTATAAGCAAGTACATCTGCTTGTTCCCGCGAAAAGCATGAACCCGAGCATCTAGATGGGACTCCAGAGGGCTTGGAGGTTAAAGCTACAGACCAACACTGCATTTTGCAATTTTGCTTTGCTTCCCTGCAAGTTTGAAAAGGTGGACTGAGGGTGAACCCACTAATGGAACGCTGGTTTATGGGCAGTGTAGACCACCCGCCCCCCCCTCCCATCTAAACACACCAACACATTCATAAGGACAAACACAAAAGCCTGACATTCTCCTGGACTCCTTTGTTATCACTGTCATCTCCAGAGACAAAATCTAAGCAAGAACTGGGGGCCTGCCCAGCACCTGTCCAGGCTCTGCCCTGTCCGCTGCTCCACCTGAGAGCTTTGTGTAAAGGACCCCAGGACTTGGTGAAGAGAAGCAGCTGCTGCAAAAAACCTGAAGAGCCTTTTGAATGTTCTGGACGTTTCTGTGATTCTGAGTAGACAACACTTAGGGCTTCCTTAATTGAAAAAGGAGCAGAGATAAGGTGATGTGTGAAAAGGCTGTTTGATATAAAATATTGTCACTGTAGGTAAATAGGAACTCTCACTGTTATTAGTTACTTTCGCTATAATTAAACACGCTGGATGGATGAAAAGATTAAAGGAAAAATCCACCACTGGCATATATGTCCCCTCTGTTGAAATCATTAACCCTCAAATGGTAAATGAGAGCCGTGACCTCTCCCACCTGCTCTGTGTGTCCCCAGGTGGGGATGGGGCGCTGCCATCTGTGGGACCAGTTGCGTTGCAGCTGCGTTTCCGGCTGCGTCTTCAGAGGAGCCAGCAAGCTGGAAAGCCGCTCTCTGGGCTACACAGGAAAAGGAAACACCATTTGCTTCTCTGTTTAGAGCAGGAAGTAAAGTGGCTTCTTCCCTTTGAAAATTGTGGCAAAGCAGTGCTTTTTTAGCTCCTTGGCTGGCTTGTGCTCTTATCAGACACAACCGGCCACGATGGGGCTGAAATGCTCCTTCTGACTTCTGTGCTTGCTCTGGCGAAAAGGCCGCACTTTGGTGGCTGAACTGTGAGTCCAGGCAACAATCAGCAGATGCTGACATATTTATCTGGGGCTGCGGGGTTCTGCCAGAGTGTGGGGGAGGGAGGGCAGTGTGCTTTTGATTTTTGCTTTCTTTTGGCTACTGTCTGTCTCACCGAGGTGCTGCTGGGATGATACACTTGACGTGTTGCTCAGGGTACCTGTCTCAGGAAGCCACTGGGCCTGGGACCTCCCCTCCAGGTGATGGCCCATGAGGGAGGGGAGGTCCAGTGGTCCAGTGCCCAGAGGAAGGGATGTCTCTACCAAAAAGGCTTCGTCTCCTGGCCAGGCCTGGCACCAGTGGCTCCTTCCCTAGCTTGCAGAAAGGCCTGCTGGGGTCCTCAGGTTGGTCATCACGTAATACCACCTAGACTTGCTGTGGGCGCTACTTCTTTGAGAAGTCGTACAGGTGTTTTTTTTTTTTTAAAGATTTATTTATTTTATTTATACAAGCACTGGGTACAGTCAGAAGCGTGGAAGGGTGAGAGAATTCACCAGAGCCTGAGCGGGGAGCAGAGCTGGCAGAAGGACCGAAGTACACTGCTGAGGGGAGCAGCGGGTGGCAGGAGACATCTGCGTGCCATGTGGGACCCTCCTCCGGTGGCCAGGGAGCAGCTGGGGATCGAACCGGCACTGTAGAGGCTGCGGGCAGCTTCGCAACCCAGCACTCAACCGCTGCGCCACCGGGGAGGTCCAGTCTTACAGGTTTTGACATTCCCACAACAGAAATCATTAAGAACCTCATTTTGCTTTTTGTTCTGTGGTTAAGGAACATCTTCACCATCACATCTTCTTTCTGAACTGGATTTTAAGCCCCTGTGGGAAGGGATGTGGGTCTTACATCGTTGTGACTATAATATCAATCAATGTTTAATTCATTAATCAGCCAACAGTGTTCATATAATTATCAGTGGACTCCAGTTACAAATTGATAGAAATTCCAAGCTCAGCTGTTTCTTCTCAGAGATCAAAGAATCTAACAGTGTGGTTTATTTTCCCCAGAAATTTCTTCAGTTTATTAAAAAATGTTTTTATTGAAGTAACTGGTTTATAACACGTTGTAGGTTCAGGCTTACAGCACTATAGTTTGGGTCTGTAGATGCTTCACTATGATCACCATAATGAGTTTCAAACCCACGATCGTAGACACCTTGGCATAGGCATCCAGTCCGAGTGGGCTCTGGGATGGCCCCAGAGACCTCCGCTTCAGTCCCAGCCTTGCTAACGTTACATCTCTAGGCGGCTAAATTACCCAGGGACATTGCGTTCACCCAGAAACAGGTTCTGAAACAAAGACGGCTCATGAAGAACGTTATTTGGTGTGGCCAGACTCCTAGTAGTGACCAAACTCTAAGGTGTCTACACACACTGCACTGTCCATGGTTTCCAGGTGGGGACAGTCATCGAGTGTTGGGTTGTATCCCAGACAGGGAGCCAGGTACAGGCAGCTTTTTCCTGGGCTGTTGTAAGGAACTATGAGTACATGACAAGAAACTAGGGCCTATAGCATCCGCAATATCCATTTTAGGAGGCACTTGCTTCTTCAATGTAGATAATCTAATTCGAGGTTTTTGGAATGAAACTTTGAGTCTGATTGCTTTTGGCAATGTCATTTTTATAGCATTTTTATAGCATTACCCTTTAGCTCTTGCTTGCAAATAATATTTCCTCTTCTTTGTCTTTTGTTTTTTAAGCCAAAACTTTGTCCTTGGCTTAGTTTGGTTGCATTGTTAACCATTTAAAATATAAGTGATATCACCAACACAAGATTGTCCAGAAATAGATTTAATGAATTATCCATTTGTGTAATGCCAAGTCATCTTTTCCGATAGCCTCCCTATGGTCCATCAAAAACTCCTCACATTTCTTTTTTACTTACTTCAATATCTAGAAAGCCATAAATAAAATGTGACCCATGAGAGCAGCCACTGGGTTAATGTGTTCTGTTCCCTGGCCCCACGCTGTATTCTGACCAATGGAATATCCTGTACAAGTGAGAAGAAGCATAAGGAAAACAATATCTCATTACAGTAAACATAAATCTAACCTGTGATAGAGCTGTTGGGAATTCTGCAGAAGTTTCAGACAATCAGATGTGACCTTGGTGCTTATGCTTAATAATGGAGGAACTAATTTCCACTGCCGGTAAAAATGTGCTACCTTTGTCACAAAGTCAACAACAAATTAAGGAAGTCGTCATGGAATCAGGAGGAAGTGGAGAATGCCAAATTCAACCTTTGCAACTTGATCTTTGAGGAATGGAGCCAGAATGTATAGGAGCTAACCAGCTGCGGGCTAGAAGTGCGCAGGTATGGGTTAGGGACCAACCACCCAGGTATGGGTTAGGGACCAACCACCACAATCCTCTCCCACCCAATGGTCTGTGCTTCAGTTAGTCCCAGCCAAAGGTAGAAGGATGATAGTTTGAATGGAGAAAATGTAGAAGAATAAATAATGAGTTGTTACCATTTGTGTATCATTGGGAAGTAAAGAAAAGAAGCCTGGCAAAATGGAAACATATGCATGAAAAAAGGTTAACAAATAGCATGAACTATAATCTATGATGATATTGTTGAAAATAAACATGAGTTCTGAACACAGACCAGGACTGGAAGATGACATGCACAGATGAAATTTAACTAAATTGACTTAGGGTGAATTGTGGTTAGTTTTCTTCTTAGATGCTGGAACTTCAATATTAAAATTTTAAAAACCAGGGCCTCCCTGGTGGCGCAAGGGGTTAAGCACTGCGCTATGAAGCAATCCGCAGCCTTTGCAGCATGAGTTTGATCCCCAGCTGGCCAGGAAGCAACCCACATGGCATAGCAGACCTCTCCTGTCTCGCCTGCTGCTCCCCTCAGAAGTGTATTTCAGTCAGTCTGCCTGTTTTGCTCCCCACTCTGTCTCTGGTGATTCCTCTCACCCCCCCACATCTCTGGCCTGTACCTCAGCTCTTGTATGCATAAATAAATAAATCTAGAAAAAAATTAAAAAACCAAAATTAAACAAAGATTAAAAGACAGAAAATTATGACCCAAGTTCCTTTTATTTTATTAAACACTGTTAAGAGTGTTCCTTGAATCTCTAGCTTTGTGGAGGGAGAGCCAAGACTTTTTTACAGTAACTCTTCCCGCACAGTCCCACTTGCAAATGCTGCAGCATTTTGGTCGGTATTGGCAGCCACCTTGGCTGTTGCTGTAAGTGATCATCAGACATGGCCAGACACTACCTGAAGTGAGAATGAGTCAGTCAGGGTTCTTTGGTTGTAAGATGCAGGAAGAGACTTCAGCTGACTTAGAGGAAATTAATGGGAAGTCTAGAAAATCAGTCTTGGGATCAAGACAGGTCCAGCAGGTGGGAAATGCCAGAGCAGGAAGAGTCTCTCCCACTGGAATGAACAAATTCCAGTATTCAAACTGACATCACTGACTCAAGGGCTGAAGTCCCAGCAGAGAGCACTAGGCCTCAGCTGCTGCCCACCCTCCAGATGTACCAGGGCTCTGGAGCAGGAGGGCTCCCTCCTGGAGTCACAGTCCCACACAGATTAGAAGCACACAGAGAGAAAAGGTATTTCCCCCAAAGAATCAGGGTATCCTTAGGATAATGGACAGTAAGCGGCCCAAGCGTACCTTTCCCGGTAGCAGAGGATGGAGATGGAGCCACAGGGAGCAATGTGTGCGGTCAAGTGCCATGGCCAGAGCTCGGGGTCCACCTGCACCACAGCCCAATCATGTTCCTGGGTCTCTAAACCGAGGGGTCAGGTTTGGCCCACGCTTCTGTGCTGCAACTCTGTGGGCCTTGAGTTGATGGCCCTTAACCCAACAAAACAGACAGAATGTGGTTATCCTTCAGCCTGAAGGAAGCTGAAGAGTCACTTGTGCTGGTGGCATGTTTATAGGGAGCCTAAGAATTTTTTTTTTTTTATTTTAAAAGACATGTTTCAAATTTGCAAACTTTTTTTAAAAAAAGATTTATTTATTTTATACAAGAACCGGGGTACAGGCCAGAAGCGTGGGAAGGTGAGAGGATTCACCAGAGACAGAGTGGGGAACAGAACAGGCAGACTGACAAAATACAATGCTGAGGGGAGCAGCGGGTGCGACAGGAGAGGTCTGCAGCGCCATGTGGGACCCCTGCTGGCGGGTGGGGATCGAACCGGCACTGCAGAGGCTGTGGACAGCTTTACAGTGCAGCGCTCAACCACCTGCTCCACGAGGGGAGGCCCGGGAGCCTAAAAATTTTTTAATACGAATTTCGTTTTCAGTCTCTCATCTCAATTGTTCCACAAGCATATGGTAATTATTGTGGGGTTTTTATGATGGGACTCTAAAACGGATGGGAAAGAAAACACATTTTTTTCAGGGGCAGCTCCATAAAAGAGGAACGCACCATGATCCCCCCCTCCCCAGCTTTATTTTGGAGTTCAATAGTCAGGTGAAGATACAGACATGGAAGGCAGGTGGGTAGAAGGGAAGAAGGGAGAGCATGTTCCTGAGGACCTACTTGTACCCCGGTACTGCAGGGGGGGAGATGTGGAGGACAGAGACACTAGGAAGAGACCCAAGTGGAGAGACCTGGGAAGAC